ACGATTGGCACCCGTCGAATAACGCATCTCAGACGTGTGACAATAACTTTCATGAATTTTGAATTATTTTTATGATAGTTTTCTGTAATCAACTTTAATTTTTCGTTCATAAAAATAAATGGATGAATCTACGGAAAATAAATTGTCACCTTCAACAGAAAATCATCAACCGTTCTGCAAGAATTCCTGAAGAAAATGGAAGAGAATGGCGATGTGCAAACGATGGTGAAATTGGAAACGGAATGGAAGGACTACAAGACCTCTCTCGGTACAGTTCTCCTTCATTTTTATCTTTTCCTGAAACTGAAAACTTTTATTCGAAATATTAAAATTATTGTCGAATAATTTTCTCTATTTGTAGGAAAACATTATGATAAAAGCGAGAACAATTTGAGAATGGCAATATTTGAAAGTAACGAAATATTGACAGAAAAGATAAATAGAAAATATAAAAAAGGCTTGCTTACTTATACAACTGCTTTGAATGACTTGGCTGATTTGGTAAGTAAAGTTGACAGATACATTACTTCAATGAGACATTCGATATTGCTTGAATTGATATGTCTCCATTAGTATAATAATTTCCATTCTTGAAAAATCCGATTTGGATTTCGAATTGCTATTAGTGCTTAAATTCTCAACAACAGTATTCTCAGTAACATATAACAGTATTATAAATAAGGAAATTTTGCATTAAAATATTTTATCAATTTAAATTATTTCTATTAGAAGTCAGTTCATTTTAATTCAATTCCAGACTGAAAGTGAATTTTACTTGATGAATGGACTTCGATTTTCCAATGAAACTGGAAAAAGGCACACTCGACAACTTAGTGGTAGTTTGTATCAGTATAATAAAACCGATAAATTGCCGAGATCTGTTGATTGGAGAAAGAGAGGCTACATTACATCGATTAGACATCAAGTATGATTTGCATGCAGCTTTTTAGTCGGAAATCTGAAAAATATGCTTAAGGCACTTCACCAGTTTATTGTGACCGCAAAAAGTCCTATATTTGCAAAACTTGCTAAAGTTTTCTAAAAAAAATTATTGATTGATCACAGCATATCGATTGAGAGTGTCTTAAATGAAATGCATGCAATGCCGTACTGTCGCTGCATTGTGATTGTCTTACATTGAATTTTGAATTCGAATTTTAATTTGCATTTGAATCATCCCGAATGAATGGATTGATTTATTATTCGTAAATTTAATGGAATGAAATCGACGATTACATTTTTTTACAGGGTGAATGTGGCAGTTGCTATGCATTTACTGCAGTTGCAGCATTAGAAGCTCACCACAAGAAGAAGACCGGAAAACTTATCGATTTGTCGCCGCAAAATATTGTCGATTGTACATGGAAATACGGTAACAGAGGTTGCGATGGTGGCCTTATGAATCCGGTCCTTTTTCTTTTCTTTTTCTATGAATCTGGATAGCTTTTGCTCTTTGTTCCGGTTTCTACAGAACGAATTTTACGTTAATGTTTGTTAGCCGAATAAAACCAAAATTCTACACAACTGATAATGGCTTGTAGGAGCAGACTGATAAAAACTGAGCCAATTTTTTTTTGCTTGAATAAAATGAAATGAAGGAGAACTTTTGAAAAATCTCATTTAAAATATTTAGGCCTTTCATTATGCAAAATTGTACGGCGTTATGGCAGAGTCGAAATATCCGTATGTTTCCGTTGCTAGGCAGACTTGTAATTGGAACAAAAAAGATGTTGTTGCCACTGATAAGGGTTATTATTTCATACAACGAGGTGACGAATTAGGACTCAAACATGCTGTTGCCAGGCGCGGACCTGTTGCTGTTGGAATTTCCGGACATCAACCCAGTTTCCGATTTTATAAATCCGGTACCTTTTTTTTCAACATAGTGTAATTTAGTTAGAAAGTTTAAGGTAAATAGAAGAATAAAAAAAAAATATTGTCACTTTCCTTCAAGTGTCACTTTTGTACGGTTATGTTATGTTCTCTGTTTCGTTGTAACATTATCGGAAGCATTTCATCTTTTAATACTTCAGGTGTTTATGGTGATAACACATGTAATGTACCAACTCATGCAGTATTGGTCGTCGGTTATGGAACGCATAAAATTCACGGAGATTATTGGATTATTAAAAATAGGTTTGCTTTGACTCATCGATTATATTATTTCATCCCTTCATTCATATCAGGACTTTTATTCTGAAATTTTTCCTTTGAATTAAATGGCCATTAGCTTGTCATGATTTGATTTAATGCTAGCACTAATTGAAATTAAATATGATTTTAAGTTTCGATTTTCAGTTGGGGAACTCATTGGGGGAAAAATGGATATGGTTATCTGGCTCGAAACAAAGGGAATATGTGCCACATTGCTACAATGGCTTCATTCCCTATGTGATATGAATTAAATTTGATTTCGGGAAATATTTTATTCAAACATTTGACGCATATGCTGAGAATGATAATTCTGGCTTAATAAAGATAAATTTGGAACATGCAAATATGCGACATATAAAAGGAAAACATTTGAATGTTTAATTTCTGCTTGGAAATTTTATTGATAGTGCGAGCAAATTATCACTTGAATAGTTTTAAATTATCGTAGTAATAGTATTTTTGGATTTTTAAAGTAACTCACATTTTACTCAATTACTTTTATTACAAAAATAGTATAACCTTTCAAATAAGTGAAACCGTACAAAAAAGAATAATCTATGAAGATAATCTTTCACTATAACGAATAAGATGATCATGAAATTCTTAAAGGAACACTAATTTCTGCTCAATTATTGGTTTTCCACGAATGATTTGATATTTCAAATAACTGAATAATTAAATTACTTTTCACTAAGCCAAATAAATTTTTTATTAAATCGCAGAATTTATGCCATAATTTTTGCTAATTAAGGAGAGCATTTTACTTAAGTAACGCAAAAAAGTTGTTGCCAATGGTAGAAAGATAAAAAGAATTAGTAATTGCAAGAAAAAATTGCAAATTTTACAACAATTTTTCTTTTTTCAAATATTTCAAATTTCTAAATTATCAGTTTTTTTTCCAAAGCTCACATAAAATTAAAGTCTAACATACAAATTACTAAGTTCACAATTTATTTGATACAAATACGCTCTAAAAGTATATAAAAGCATATGTCAACAGGCATTTATAATGCAAACTACTGGGATAATGCGCAGTATGAATTACAAATGCCAGAAATTAGTAGCTAAAATTTTAATGAAAAAATCGCAAATTATAGAACATAACAGTTATGAGACAATTTCTTTTTGTTTGTTTTCAGTATTAAAATCTAAATTTTTTATTTCATTAATTTACGAATAAAGACTTTTTTAAATATTATTACAATTTCAAAATTTTATAAGATTCTAATTCATAACAAGAAATCAGTTGAAATTTGTAAGGAAAAATAAATTTAATTAAAAAAAAAGTGACTGGAACAAACAAAAAACTTATATTATGTATTTGTAGAATATTTCGGTAATATTTTGTTTAATCGATTTTTAAAATTATAATTTAGCTAAATTGTATTCATTCATACGTTCCGCATGCACACATTAATTAAAATAATATTTATATATTGTACAATAATTTCAAATTTGAATTTCATTCCATTAATAAGTTAATTAAGCTAGTTAGTTAAAAAAGAGAGCTTAATCGAAGCAAAAAAATTACATAATATCGCTGTTTCGTCTTCTTTGATATCCGAATTTCGGTTCATTTCGTTCCATTCAGATCCATCAAACTAATTTAAGCAAAGTAAAAACTGTGCAGTTATCCTTAAAATTTAACCAGACATACGAGAGAAACAAAAAAAAAAAAACAATATTTTATTTTTAATAAAATTTTCAAATCTTACCAGAACAATTTTTTTGTCGTTATCGATCATGCAAAATTATATCTCTAAAAAATACGTATGATCAATAAGTGTTCAAAATTTAAGATCTAATCAAATCCGAGTTAATTCTTCAGATTTAATTAAATGTGCTAAAAATGAGAGATGACTTCGAGTAACCGTCTCAAATTAAATGATTTGTTACAAAAAAATTCAGATTTCGATTATTCAGGCAATTTAAAAGTTTTTAAAAGTAGACGATTTTTATTTTAATATTAACAACTTATGCCAATTTTCAATTCTTTCCCCAATTAATTCGTTTATGGCGGAGTAGAAATAAAGAAAGAGGAAGAAATTTCCATTTTTCCATGGAACAATCCGGAATTGATCATAATCAAATTGAAATCATTGAAAACTCAAAAACAAACTGAACTTAATAAAATAAAATTTTGTGTATTATATTTACTCATGTAAGATAATTGATAATTAATACCTGCGTTGCAAATCATTCCTACGAAACAGTTTGTTGATCCAATCAATTCCATCGCACGATCACAGCAGTGTTAAATCATTCTAAAGTTCGCATTAATTGTACATGTTTATAAAATCATTATTGAAGTTTTGAATTTTTTGTATCAACTTTTCACTTTTTTTGGCAAAAAATTGGAAAAAATTTAACAAAAGCGAAATTGATAATATATTCATTTGAAACGATGAAACATGTGGAATCATTGATTTCGTGATTTTTCAATAGATTTTTCTCATAGCTTGTTTATTTCAGGTAGGATTTTAAAATATAAACAGTAAGGAGATCAAAGATGAAAGAGAAATACATTCATAGCACTGCTTGCAACTGTACAATGAATTGATGATTGGTATAAAATGGTGAATTTTTCTGCTGCAATTTTAATAGAAATCATAAAAATTAATTCAACATGAAATATGTAATCTGATTAGTATTGAAATTAGCATGAAAGAATGTTACGAAATGTAATTATGATGGAGGTGTCACATAATTTATTCCAGCGGTTAAAACTGCTTTGTAAATCGTAAAATTTCAGAAATTCAAGAATATTAATTTATGATAAAAGCAGCAAAATTCTATTTACTACTCATTTTAAATGATTTTTTAATCTAATTTATATCACCAATTTGAAGACAATTATGTTAACCGATCGATTGATAATGAAAATTACTGCACTAAACAAAGGTTTAATCGATAGGCATTCAGTCATTCGGTTGACTGTTCCGAAGTTAGCATAAAGATTGAAGATAAGTTACAAATGAAGAAGGTAAGATCAAAAAATGATTTCATCATAAGTGGAAAGGACTTAAATGGCATCAATTCCACAAATAACTCAAACTATTGCAACGGATTTGAGATAGAGGTAAAAAAAGAAATGGAAATGGAGGAATGAAATAATAATCACAAATGGAACGGAAAACTGAAAATTTTGCACAAATTTTTGGCAGTAATTACCAGTTTAAAAATGTTAAATATGAAAAAAAGAGAAAAAACCAACTTGAAACATCGATGAAGATGTATTATACAAGGAAAAAATCGGAGGAATAGTTTGGCATTCAATTTAATTCTTTTTAAGCAAATAACTTTTTATTCTTTACCATAAAGTTTTATTTATCCTTTCATTTCCTAACAATTCTTTCGGTTTTTGATTTCTATTATTTAATTTATTAATAGGGGAAAAATAGGGAAAGGAGAGGAAAAAGACAGAAAGAGGGAAGAAAAATATTTTTTCTTTTTTCATGCTCAATTGATTTTTGTACTTTGATAAATGATCCTAAGATACTACATACCAAAAAAACAAAAAAATTTGCATCGAAAAATTTATTAATCAGATTTATTAGAGGTAATAATTGATAAAAATAACAAAATGACACATTGACTTATTTCATACATCATTCTGATAAATAAAGGATATTTCATATATCATTCTGATAAATAAAAGAAAAGAGAAGGGATTTTTTTTCCTTTATTGAAATTCGTTATTTATTGTACAGTAAATATCATATTATTATTTCTTCCTCAATTACATTTTTTTTGCTTCCTAAATTAATTATTCATTAAGTGATTTCAATAATTTTTAAATGTCTGATTTGCTTATAAATCAAATCTCCGATATTTTCTACTTTAAAAATTAATTCCCAAACATTTTGTGCTGTCGTACGAGATTTTACAACGTATTCGAACATTTCATATATATACATATTTATTTGTATATTTAATTAATTTAAAAGTAGGATTTGAGTGGTATATTGTAATCTACAGAAATATTATTTTAAGATTTTATTCGAAATGCTCGGAACGGCCAAAACATACAAGTGGACTCGAACTGATCAATTTATATTTTATCAATTACTGATCGAAAACAAAGAAAATCCTCAAATTTAGTATTAGAAAATCGTATTAATCGAGTGAGAAAACCACTGAATTTCAATTAAAATGGAGTCGAACTGATGAACTTACATTTTATCAATCGCAAATTAGAAGAAAACAAATAAAATAATGAAATATTAATTAATGATATATCAGAAAGCTATATTTGCAGTGAATTATATACACATTTAACAAATACTATTTCATTTTAATTATTAGTTGAATAAAAGATTTCGATTACTAACAGTTTAATGATTTAGCATTCTCCTTTGAACTGAATCAGGTTACAAATAATCCCAACCTTAAAGCATTAATCAGCTAACATATCGTCTTGTGTTTTCTCGACTTTCCTGAAAAATTTTACAAATATGTCTTATCATGCCTGGAGAATATCAAAACTTCAATCTTTTTCGTTCTTAACAAAAAGATACATCAGAATTTTGGATAATGGAAATTCTTAACTGATAAGATAAGATACTTAACAACACACATCATATCTCAAAGAAAATTTTTTCCCAAAAAGTTTAATGAAAATTTACTAAAACTCACATAATATCCGCAAACCGAAATTTCTTTCAAGAATATTGGATACAATCAAATTGAAATGAAATCAAATTATTGCATTCAATGTCAAAGAAAAGTCATGGGACCGCATTTCGGAATGTTTTGCTCTGTGTGGAATTATTTGTAAGCTTTTTCATATTATCTGAGGTTTTTCCTAAAGTTTGAAATTGAAGTGATGTCTGTGCGTAAAGATAACGTGACCTCGTACGCGTATGTGTAACGTGAAAATACTGCTTGTATAGGGCATATAGACGCTTGGATAGTTTGTTAATGATAATTACATAACGGTGATGCATTATATTATTAGTACGCATTTTATGGAGCGACTCATTTATATAATGTATGACTGCGAGATATATCATAAATTATGAAGATTGATTTCATCTATTTTACTTTTGTTGCGTACAGAACGCGATCGGACAGTTTATTAAATTTATGCGTATCTCGCAGACGCATACGGTTGTACAATTCACTACATACTTTGCAAATTTTTAGGCCAATACGCAATGAGAGACCCAAATTGGGGTTGGAATGATGATAGCAATTATGGCGGTAGCCATAATACTAATCAGCAATGGCAGCAAATGCAAGAACCGCGGAGAAACCAAGGAAGTTATAGGTTAGTTCATATTTGGCCCATACAAGCTTTACCCATTAATTTGCTGTTGAAACTTTGAAATTCATTTCTAGTTAGTTAATCATCTTTCTGTTTGTTTCGAAATGAGGCACTTAATTTCTTCAAGTCATACTTTTGCATTACTAATTTGAGTGTTATCTCTGCCGTGTAATGTAGTGTCTTTATTAAGTTTTTTCTTTTTTTTAAAAGTAGCTGCATTGAGTTTTCTTTTGGAATTGCAAATGAATTTTTAGGGTTTTAATTTTCCTTGCAATATAACGACCTTTTAGCAATCAACCCACAACAGCAGTATCGGATAAGATTTATAACGAATACTATAACTATCAAACAACTATTCCGTCAGCACCAATCGGAACTAATTATTCCCAAACAAATCAAATGCAGTCATTTGAAATGGGATCAAGTTCGCTATTGTTAAGATTATTATAGTAAAATTGTTCACGTAATGAATAATTCCGCGGACAATTTTTATTTTTATTTTCTATTTTTTTGAATAATTCAAAATCAAACAATTTGTTTTGAGACTTTCACATTATATATTTTGTCGACAAACTTCTGCACTTTTTTGACTGATCCTGGCCCCTCAAGAAAATTTGATATAAATCTAAAATATTAAATATTGCCAAATCCTTTGCATCTACAAATATTCTGTGATTCTTTATTGTTAAGTGCATATGTTTCAGATTCGTATGGTGTTGGAAATCAGTTTATGTCAGACCCGATGCTAAATGCTGCAAGACAAATTGGTGGCCAGTTCGCTGTACAACAAAAGGAAAAGGTATCTATTTGTTATTGAAGATTTCTGTGATAGATGTAAGTCATCAATGCTTGAAATCAGACAAAGATTTTTGTTAATAATATGTAACAGAATTTTCGTGCTTAATTCACTTCACGTTATTAGGTGAGATCAAACATGAAATGAACTTCCAAAATAATTAAAAGAAAATAATTTTTTGCCGGAGGTTTTTAACCTGCTTTATAACAAATTTCAGTTGACCAAATATTTGTCAGCATTCCATCTGAAATATTATTTTGCTGTGGATAATACATATGTCGGCAAAAAATTGGGTCTTATATTATTTCCTTTTCTGCATCGAGTAAGTTTCTATATTTATAGCAAGTTAATTTGTTTGCTCTTAGTATGCGATGAAGTACAGTCTATAATTTTAGGATTGGACTGTCAAGTATGATTCTTCAGATTCGCCAGTACTCCCACGATCAGATATCAATGCACCAGATTTATATATTCCGTTAATGGCTTACATAACTTATATTCTTATCTCCGGATTTGTACTGGGAACACAAAGAAGGTGAACTCAGTCACTCGGTTACATTGTTTATTACCGTACGAAAAACACAGATTTAAGAATCATTTTTTTAGATTTACACCTGAACAGTTGGGCATCATCACAACAAATGCGTTAGCGTATCTTATTTTCGAAAATCTAATAATAATTATAACGAGGTATATTATGAACATATCACAATCGCTCACATTCTGGCATTCACTTGCCTATAGTAGTTATAAATTCGTTGGGTAAGATTTTTGAAAATTATTTATAATGAAATGAATGATCTGTTAATAAACAGAGTAGTTGGGTTTTTGTGTAAGGTTTGGAATACAAGTTATGGATGCTGGTGAAAGTTATTAAGGTAGCAGGAAAAAATATAGTACCATTCTAAAACAAAATTAGAAAAGTTATTTATCTGCCCATAAAGAATTTGACTGATTTATCGGTCGATACCTAAGATAATTGCTTAAATTGTATAGCATAGCTTTTTCAGGATGAATGTTTGCTTGTTGGTCTTTGTGCTAGGTGGCAAATCGTTGTATTATTGGGTTCTAGCTTATATGTCCTTTGCAGTTGTTTTTTTTCTGGTATGTTTCATATATTTATTGTTGAAAAAGAGATTCGTTTCCGTTTTCATCCAGAAATGGATGATATGCTGATGTAAAAAATGTGAATGAATTTCAAAGAATTTACTAATCCAATATTTTGTATTTTTATTTGCTAGTGAAGTTACAGTTATGTCCTATTTGAAAGCAGTAAGATGTAGAACCGAGGTAAGTGCAAAAACATTTTCGAATTCAGCCATATAAAGAATAGACTTAAATAAAAATTAAATAATTTTTTCATAGTTTGTAAAGAGATTAATGATGTTTTCATTGAGACCGAAATAAAATTTAGTCTTTTTGAATTTTATGCAACGATATATTTTTTGGATTTGATTCTTTTAAGCTACGAACGGTGAAGACATTTTTAATGGATGTACAAAATACGTATAATGAATATGGTGGTAAAAAGCGTAAAATATATTTGATGCTATTTATAGCATTTACACAACCGTTTCTAATGTGGTGGTTGACCAGGTTTGTTCATAATCTCCACTTTTTTTTCCTATCCTTTTGCTATAAACTTTCGGAACGTTTACTTCAAGCAAATATCCATCAGTTTTCAAGTCCTTGTTTTCTTATTCTGATCGGAAACAAAGCGGGAATTACACTCACTTAAATGTATTAGATTTTCCGCAAATTTTTTAAATATTTCAATGTTATTACAGTTCTGTGACCAGTTACACACCTGGCAAAATGGACTTGGCCCAGTTTGCATTGTCGGGTATAGGATTCAGTGAAGCAGTAAGCAAAGGACAACTGCCATTGCTGCCAAGTGGTGAAGTAGATTATGAAGCATTATTAAAAATGCCTTAATTTTTTTGTATTATGAACATTTGCCGAGTCTATTAGTCTCTAAAATTTTTTTCGTAAAGCAAAATAACCTCAGAAAGGTCAATTTGCAGATTCTAGGGATCCTTTCACAGGATTGTTTGTTTTTGTAATAGCATTGGTCTTTAAAGAAACTGTGAAGTCTTTTTTAAAAATGGTTTAAATTTTCCGCAAAAGTGCATTGAACAAGTTCATTTGCTGTATCAAAATTTGAAGTATTTTGTTCTTTATCATATTTTTGGGATCAGTACATTAAATTTTCATCCATTTTATTGGTTTATTAATTTCCTTTTATTATTTATATTTTTTAAATTAAATTATCATTGTGATCAAACATAGAATGCATTGTTGTTTGAGAGAGTTACTTCATACAATAGTTTATACTGAAAGTTTTTTTATTTGCCCTATATTCTGAATTGGTTAATGTTTTTGATTTTAGTAGGAGTTTATTTTTCATTTTAAATTATGCATTTTTTAAATTTTGATTTATGCCACGTTGAAATTTTGAATGCAGCAAGCAAAAAATTTATGCTCTGGGAGGAAAATAAATTAACACATAAGAAAGAAAAAGAAAGATTGAAAGTGGAAGTTAATATTAATTGTTTTTAATTGAAATAGGAAACTCTTAAGAAGCTAAATTTTTATTCAGTTGCTTAGCACACATTGTTGAAATTAATTCATTTCACATGAATACCGCAAAAATATTCAAGTCCAGTGTTTTAAACTTCAGTAAGCACTGATTTTGTTGGATTCATTAAAAATTGAGATCTGGCTTAACTGTGTTTTCTTCGAAAAATTAAGAGCATTATTCCGGTTTTTTTTTTTTTATCTACCGGTTTGTTATAGAAAGAACAATGTGATAAGATACATATATGTGCATTATAGCTTGTTGTGTATCTTGCTGGTAACATTCTTTTGCTAATTTCTTGTTAAATAAAACTTATACAGTTATATTGTTGCTATGTGATCGAAAGCAGAACGAGTAGCAAAGATGCTTATTCTTATACCTGTTTTTCAGATTCCTTCACTTACTATATTTTGATGGTGTTTAAAGCAATTCCTTCATAAGTATCTGTTTGTCAAGAATTAGTAACAAATTTTGGAAGTTGAAAGAAGTTGTCAGCACGGGATAGATTTGGGCAATCTAGTGAACCCACTCTCTGATTAGATTGGCATGTTCAGTACTTGTGTCATTTGCGGTGATGAAGGAAAGAGTTTGTTTTTCAGGATGCACTATATTTTTTGAGGCTAGTTTTATCTCTACACAGATAATTCCTTATAAATTCTCTGTTGTATATACTGTAATTTTCTAGAGAGATATAATTTCTTACTGCTTGATTATGTTTTAAATAATCCTTTAATCCTTCACCAATATCCAAAGAATTTCTCATCTACATATGAATGCTCGAAATGTAACTTTTTATAATGGAATCGATTAAGATTTTGATCCATTTATTTTCGTTAACTTTTAGTTGCTTCATCTTTTCATTGTCTATATTTTGTTGTCGAATAGAGACAAAAGGATAGATATCAATGGACGAGACGGAATCTCATGAATCCTGTATTATCTGCCAGCTAATAACTGTCCTGTCAGTGTTTGCTATTTTGTTTTTTCTTTTGTCACTGAATTCGAAATTTCTATATTTTATTAAAATGACCGGTATTTATTGTACCATATTACTTAATGCTGTAATCGTATGTTTTGCCTGGCCGTTGTACTTCTTTGGCGATGTAAGTTCTTTACCAACTTTCCTCTACTATTCCTATTCCGGAGGAAATGGATATTAAAAATTTAGTTCATTTTTGTTTATTAAATAACAAGCTAAATTTTGTTTTTAAGTAATTTAAAACTCTTTATATTTGCAGGTGCCGAAATTTGTTTTCGATTCTTTTAATATTCTGTCAAGGTGGACAAATATAGAAGTTGTGATACGGAATGGTGACATCTTACAGAAGCCGGGGCCATTCATATTTGTGTGTAATCATCAGGTAACATATTTTGATATTATCTAAGTGATATGTTTTAAAGAGATGCTATAACGATAACTTCTTTATTATATATCATTTGATGGAGAATGAATGATATAGAGGAGATGGTAAGCCTTATTTCGCATCTCGCTGTGCAATGTGCTTTGTAGCGTACTACAAAAATTTCCATTTCTTTTTTTCGAAAGGAAGATTAAGGCGTTGAATGGAAGAACTTTTATTTGAAATTGATTCTACCTCATTAAATGTTCTATAAATGGCTAGCATCATTTTCATATGTCTCTTACACATTTATTTTATAATGCATGCGAAATTAATGCTCGTTTTTGTTCGCCATTAATTTGTGAAAGCCGATCTTGCTGTGTGTTGATTTTCTGTTCCTATTTTTATGAAAGGTGAAAAAAAGTGTATTTTTCAATACATCTTCAAATGTATTTTTCATTACATCTTCAAATGCAGAAAATTTTGCGGTGACTTCAAGAATAATGAACATATGCATTGATCGAGATACGCTTTACAGAGTTCCATTGATATTGTTGTGATATCGCATTTTTGGCCTTCAAAATGCACGGTTATGATGAAAAATTCATTGAAATATGTACCATTCTTCAATTTTGCATCAGTGCTGGTAAGTTGCTAATGGACATTTGGTTTATCTTTGTGAGGGAAATATGCAACAAATATCGTGCTTGTTATGGGGATGTAATAAATCAATTAATCACAGGAGTGTAATTTAATTCTAGTTGAATGAATAATTGCTTTTATAAGCTATGTATATTTCTTTTAGTTCATTTTCATTAAAAGAAAGAAAAGTGTGATAATTTAAATTGGGTAAAGAATTTTTAAGAGTCGAGCAGTATTTGTGGATCGCTTCAATCGGGAAAGGGCTATGAAGTCGTTAGAAGAATGCGCAAAAAAGGTTACCGAACAGAAATTGAGTGTCTTTATATTTCCGGAAGGCACAAGAAATCACGGTGATGGAATGATTGAATTCAAAAAAGGCGCATTCAACTTAGCTGTTTTTGTAAGTGCTTCAGAAGAAAATTGTTAAATGTGTCAATTACAAATACTGTAATTATTTTATCAATAAAGACATTCATATTTTCTATTTGATTGGAGCATTGATTGTTTATTTTTTGAGTTATGAATCTCTTAATGATAGGTCAAAAATTTCGATTATGAATAGCAGATATGAGTAAATAACTGTTAAAGTTGACGTTTCAGGCACAAATACCAATTATACCAATAGTTATATCTTCTTACAAGCAGTTTTATAATAAGGATACGCGTTATATTGCAAATTCGGGCTACGTTATTGTGGAAATTATGGATCCGATACAAACTGCTGGTGTATGTTTTAGAACTTTTGCATATAACTGAACTAGAAATGCCTCATTATATTAAATTTATGTCATATATATGATCCCGTTAGGCGGATGCTATTAAGTGATGAATATGATATATATATATATATATATATAACGTTTGTTTAGTGGATTGATTGTTTATTCATGACTTATTTTTTCATTTCAGAAGACAATTCAAGATGCCCCTATGTTAGCGGATGCTATTCGTGTTAAAATGATGGACACTTTTTCAAAAATTAGTAAAGAAGCAGTCGAAGAATTTACAAATCGACAAGAAGAAATCAATGAGGCAAAAAAAATTCGTTAGGGATAGGGTCTACGGGGAAAATTACTGATATCT